GATACACTTTAAACATGTGCATTTAAAAAATATGTGCACGTAACAATTCAGCCTTTAATTATTTCAATTCGATAAAATCTTACGTATATAACATATACATTGCAACGTTAGTAACCATTCTCACAATCAGTCTCTTTTTTTAACTCTATTAGTCACTTAGTCTCCGTAAACATTTTGTGCTAAAATAAAATGGTAAATGTTTAGCCAATTGAAGTTTTACATAAAGAAAGTGTGACCATTTAAACTCGTGCACATAGCACAGAATAGAACCGCACGCTGTGGACATAGTGCACCGACATGTCGCTCGTGGACTGGCTGCGTAGTTCCAATGTGTACCACCGTGGTCATGCGCTAGTTTACGGGGCGGAAAAGTGATTACACATTCTCTAATAGACCTGGCCGCTCTCAGGCTTCTCTCTGGTTATGCTTATGTTAATAAACAGAAATATTAAAATCTTAGGCCCGCATAAACCAGGCCTAAGATTTAAACATTGTGCAAATCAACCAATCACAAGCCAGCATTTTCCACAATGTAAGCTGCTTTAGAACGTCAACGTGTGATTGATTTGTGTTTAATTTTTTCATTAACTTTTTTTTAAGCTTTACAGTTTTAGCACGTGTAATCGGATATTACAAGATGAAAACATTTCGCTTTGCTGACAACGGAAGGTCGTCGAACGTTTCTGTTTCGTGAATTATTCAATTTGCACTGGTCAATTTGCCGACCAATGCGGTCGGACCTCGATGTCCGTGATCGTCAAATGGAATTTCTTCTGTTCTATGTAAATGAAACATGAGAGAGTTTCTTTTGGATCACGTGATCTGCTGCGCGTACCACACATGGGGGAAGAAATACGCGTGCGCGGGAAATCGTGCGAATCTATTCAGAATTGTTCATACAAGAAGCGAGTTCAAGCGAGTGAGAGCAGCGGTTAGTTGTGTATAACTGACAAAAGCGCGGCGCCATATTGGTAGCTTCTGTTTGGATAGCGTTCTGGCGCGTGGAGACGTTTATTGTAATCTAATTTGATAACGATGTCCGATAATCAGGTAAGCAAATTCAATTCGCGCAATCGTGCTTTCCAATTTCGCATCTACGTTAGCGGATGCGAATATGGCTGGCGACGAAAAATTGTCGATTCCGTGAAATAATCTCTGCCGAAAGTTTGAACCAGCGCTTCTAACCTTGTCTCATCGCTAGGAACAAAAACCAGAAGCCGGCCCAGGCGACGCGAATTCGGAATATATCAAACTCAAAGTTGTTGGAAACGTGAGTAATGTGCACTTGGTTAAACATCTTGCAATTGTTTACGCACACATTTACGTGAAATAAACGGTTGCTTCTTCTTCCAGGACAGCAATGAAATTCACTTTAGGGTAAAAATGACCACACAAATGGGCAAGCTGAAGAAGTCGTACAGTGATCGCGTGGTGAGTTGATTTTACTATCGCAGATATTTTTACTTGGTTGAGATTTTGTTTTATCATTTTTATTGAAGTACTAAATAATCTGTACTCCTCCCCCCCACCCCTGTATACAAGAATGTATTTGTTTAGTTTATTAATTTTTTCAAACTTTTGTGTTGAGAATAATATGCGGTGGTTATTGGCGATTCATTGGATTTCTATCATTTTGTCTGTACAGTAATAAAATTTTAATTCTGTTTAGGGCGTACCAATGACCTCGCTTAGGTTTCTTTTTGATGGCAAAAGAATTAACGATGACGAAACACCAAAGCAGGTAAGAACCACTTTTGTAGTTTTTTTTAAAATTTTTTTATGCGTAGAGAGACGAAATGTACATGTAGAGATAATTTTTGTAGAGATAGCACATGTTATCACATTGTGCATGTGTCGATAATGGAGTGTTATTAAAATTGCATTATATTTTTAGCTTGAGATGGAGAACGACGATGTCATTGAAGTATATCAAGAGCAAACAGGCGGCCGTTAATTAAATTAGTGGGGAAAGAGAAGATTTATTATTTCATTCTGATATTTTTTAAAGTGGCAGTGACAAAAAATAACAAAGATGGACAAGATAAGAAAAAGTATTCATGTATACATAATATATATATATATATATATATTATATATATATTACACATGCACTCATAAGTGGGATAAATGAATTGTAATTTTTTGATTTCACAAACACAATGTAAAATATGCTATTTTACATTCCTGTATGTCGAGGTGTCCGAGCAAGTTCCCGATAACATTTGTAAAACGTTTGGATGTGCAATTTTTTTTTTTTTTGACACAAACATGTCAGAAACATTGCATTTCAAGTCAATTTTCACATGTCGGGACAAATTTTTAGAAATAGAATTCCCTTATTATCTGTCATTGTGAGCATAGTTTACATTCGCAAGAGATCCTTGTCCATTGAAACTTTATTTAACTTATCGATCCAAAAAAAAAAAAAAAAAAAAAAAAAAAATTGATATATATGAAACAAAATCTTCCTTTTATTTTCTCTTCCCCATTTGTATTTTGGAAAAAAAACTCTCATAAAAGAATTCTGCGACTATACATACAATAAAAATTTGTTACGTTTAAGCTATATTAAAAAAAGTAATAATTGTAAGTGTCTATATATTATCTTTCCAGTATGATTACAACAAATAAAATCCAATTTGTAAAACATAAAAAAATTGTCGAAAATCACGTAAATAAAACAAATTTCTGTTAATAAAAGAACGAGACATTCTCGATAGAATCGCTTTTATTTTATACATTGAACGTAATCGGTAATTTTATATATATATATAATAGCTCAATAAATTTTCAGGTCTTTAATCGTATATGCTTTTTACTGTAAACTCTTGTAATCAAGGACACTCCTAAAAATAATTATATAGTTAATATAGTTCTATATACAGATCTTTTTGTTTCGAGCAGGGACTATGTAGTATATATATATATACTAACGCAATACGGTTGGTGAACTATGTCATTATATATATTTACAATATAAAAGTGCATTATGTATATAAGAAGCAATTTTTTAGAGTTCGCAAACACATGAGTAAACACAAAGGAAGTTCAAAAATCCTACCGCGATTGAAAAACTCTAGGAGCGATATTGATAATCGTTTCGCGCGCAACATAAAATTTTAATAAAATTGTATATATATATATGTGTTGAATATACATATATAGAAAATATATAAATTAAGATGATCTTAAATACACAAGATTCGAATATGAATATCGCTCTGGATGTACGTACAAGAGACGATTCGTTCGGTTTCTGATTTTCAAACTTTTTCGTAAATTTTCACTTTTCAATATATATATGCTCGTAATTGAGCAACAAATAAAAATTTGAAGATTTTCTTGTATGCAATTTCTTATTCTTAGATTTAACTTAAAAAAAAAAGAAAAAGAAACGCGATTGAAAGATTTTTTTTCGTTTTCAAAAATTAGACAAGATTTAGTTTTGTAAAATCAATTGGAACCGGGACACACATTTTTAACAATGAATAAGTGACTCGAAAGAAGAGTTATCACTCGAAGTTCATCGGTGAAGTGAGAATTGTAAGACGCGGAATATATACTCTCTGTACATACACATTTCTTTTCTTCAGAAATAATTCTTTTCTTCCAACACGCGAACTGAATCTCTTAAAAACAAGTAACGGACAAATTAACCTTTCAACTGTGAAGCAGTTTTCAAAAGTAGCGTTGATTATTATCAGTATGTTTTCAAAAGTTTTTTAGAAAAAAAAAACTGCAATCTTATCGAGTGATGCTACTTCCGCTCTACATTTCTGTACGTGCATATGTTGGCTCTACATCCGTATATAGAATATGCAGAAATTTCGTCGATTTGTTTATTAGCCAAAGAACTAACACGAGGCGAATGTGTATGCGTTTTAGTTATTAACAAAAAAAAACAAAGTGTTGTGTCACTTTTCACGGATTCACGCAAATTCAGATTAGACGCTATAATATTTCAGCTCGGTTGTGTTGTTACACATTACTACGAGTAGTATATACACAATTGTGTGTGAACTTAATATTTATGAAGTCCAAACTCCACGACATAAAATCCTGTGTGTCTGTGTGTGTGTGATTTCACGACGTAACATTCACGTGACGCAATAAAAGTATCTTTAATCTTTTTTTTTTTTTTCTAGTCCGTTGACACACACTGAGAAAAATCGTGAATCACAGCTCCTACACTGTATCCCCGAAGCAAGAAACTAGTATCGATTTTATCTTATAGTTTGTCATGCACTAGAAGGCGTGACAAAAACTTTCCGCTCCTACATTAATGCACTTGGATTCATTCTCGTACATGTTATCCGTCTTTTTCATCTCATTACAGCTCGTATCACAAAGATTAAATAATATTATATATATTTGTGTATGTGTGTGTGTGTATGTATGTATGTGTACGTCTGTGAATGCGTGTGTGTGTTATATCAGATGTAAATAATAAAAATAGTCTCTGACAATATAAATTCTAGCTCTCTCGTTGGACATAAATAGAAATTCCTATAAGAAAGCATTAAAGACATATCAGTCTTTGAGAGTTCTTTTTCACCTTTTCCTTTTTGTCTTTCCACACTCTTAACCATACGTCCTTTTTTTCTTTTCTTTTTTTCTTTTTTTTTTTTTAGTAATGGTAATAGCATGGAAATTCTACGCGCTTTTACGCTCGAAAAATTTGCAAGTACTTTGCAGGGGAGAAGAATCTGCAATTATATCGTAAATATATTTTCGTGAAATGAAAAGGAATACAGAGGATCCAGAAACCTATATATCCCGTCTCCGAAATGAAGACGATTGTTCGGAAAATAGCGACGCGCGATTTTCTTCTCACGTTCTTGTCACTTTCAAAATTCTTTCCTCTGCTAAAAGGTACAAACGCTACGCACTAGATAAGTACTCTTCTGTGTGTCATATCGTTAGGACAAGTTTTTATTTATATATATATATGTATATCTTTTACTTCCATCTTTCGGCGTAATCATCCTCGAAATTGAGAGAACAGTTTTATCGAGAGTTAAACAATATTTGAGAAATAATTGAAGTTTGAAGAAGAGAAAACGTAGAAACGCGCGCAAAACTCTGCGGAGATGAGAATATTATTTCGATCAAATTTATTTCGAAGATAATTACGCGTGAGGATTAAAAAAAAAATAAAAAAAAAAAAAAAAGAAACCGAAGTAGCCGTGTGCATATACATACTTAAATAAAATGTACAAGATTTCAATTCGAGGACGTAATTTCTACACAAGTGTGTGATATCGATCCAAATTAAATCTTCGCGCGCGACTACGTGAACACAATTTTTATCCTCTTCCCAGATGCGTGTAGGTTTTTTTTTAATACTTTTTAATTTTTTTTCATTTTATACACATCTATACTTATACTTACCCAATAATACATTATATTGCATAATAAATATATAGCATATATTCGTGAGGAAGGAAAGTGTGGTACTACTTTCTGTTAGTCATCAAAGCGCGCGGATATTACTGCGAAAGAGCGAGGCATCTTTGCGTGAGAGTTAACTGCAGGAGAAAGATAAAGAAAGAAAAAAGAGAGAAAGAGAGAGAGAGAGAGAGAGTCTTCGGTTCTTCGTGATTTAAGAACGACGAACACCGTGTGACGACATCGTGAAAGGTCACAAGGCGTCGCGATGCCATACCCACGTTTTCTTCGTGTGATCGAATCTGTGTGCCAGCCACTGCTGCTCCAAAAGCTTGTACCTATCCTCGCTGAGGTACAGCGGCTTGCCACGTCTGTGACAAAAAAGATATTACAATGCTTGAATGTGTAATATCAAACGGTTTGTTCTTGTTGTAAAAGTACCTGCTTTAGCTATCTCTCTCGCTATAATCGTAAGGAATTACAGTCATGTTTTTTAACATCAAAATTAATCGTGTCAAAATTAATTAATTGCATTGTTCGTTTGTACACGCGCGTTCTTTATCTTTATATAAAATCTCAACGGTTACAAATATGTGATACTTACTTTAGATCTCGGTCTTCTTCCTCGAAATCGTCAAGATACAGCGATCCCCACAAACACGCCCGTCGACCACGTATCACGATGATGTAGGTCGAAGTTACAACAAGGTAAATGCCTGTACCGCTTCCGCAATCGATCGAATGCTAAATGTGATGGTAAGTTATTTTAGCGAACAACTTTGATATATTTGTGGACAATGATTTCATCTTGTTCTAGCGTATGTATGTAGTAAAAAAAAACATATAGCCCACCTGAATAGCTTCGCAGACATTCATCTGTTTGCAACAATTTTGCTTGAGACAGACGATCGTTCCGCACAACAAACAAATGCCAATTTCTTGAGGAACAGAATGACATTGGCTGCATTGTCTCTCGTGATAATACTGAAAAAAAAAAAATAGTACTTTTATACATAGAATATATACGTATTTTCAATTATTCTTAATTGCAAGTGTGTGTTCTAAGGATGTTACCGTGAAGATTTTCTCGTATTCCCGCGGAAGACTAAGCAGTTTCGGCATCTGCCACGATATGTGTTGCTCCATAACCAATCGTCGGGCTGGCAGATGGCCTTGCCAGTTAGTTAGAAATGTGAGCAACTGGTTGCACCAGAATATCGGTACTGAGACGCACGCGTCCGGTTCTTGCCAGTTCAGAGCTACTGCCGAACTAAAACTATCCCAATTCATGCCCTCCGTGACCAGTTCTAGATAATAAACCAATCTAACGAACTCGCTTTGCGGCGCCCTGATTACCGGCAACGGCTGCTCGTACAAGTGATGACGCAATAACGCCGCCACTCGAAGGAACGGCAAGCAGAGCGATTGAATCTGAAAAAAAAAAACAAAAAATTGAATACGTCACGCATAAGAAATAAATATTTTGCGAGATCAAAGCTTCTCCAAAGATATTGTCGAAAGATATATATGTATAAAACATGTGTATAGAACGTACCTGTTGTTCGAGACAATGCGTTTTCACTCTGACGTAAGATGGAGAAGCCGAAGTGGACGGTTTCTCATCGTCCGTGCCAGAATAAAGTCCGCTGTCTTTAAAAAACTCGATAATCTCGGCCAGTGCAGTCTCCGAGGACGTGGCGGCGCAGCTGCGTCTTCTCTTCAGGATTGTATTTCGTTCTGCTCGCGAAAAGTTACAGCTTATCTGTAGTATCACCTGATAGTACAGTAAGTTGTAGAGAACCTTTACCACACCAGAGAAATATGCTGTGAAAAAAACATATGGATTATCGCGTTGTTCATAATGCAATTAACAAATCGCTTCGATTACGGATCCTGTTTTTCATCAAAATGCACGTACTTCGATCAAGATGCAGTGGCAACAGTAGTATAAATTGAATGAGCATGGCAGTCGGATCTCGTAAGAATAAAGGAACTTCCCTCTCGTGTGGCGTTAAAGCGAGAGAAGATGTCGACTCCTCCATCAGATGTATACCAGATAATTGCTGCCAAACATGATGGACTGGCCAAGCGGTCAACACCCGAGCGTGTACCGCCAGGACATGAAGAAGAGCGACTAAAAGCGACAAAATCAAAAACCACGTATTCGTCTTTAGTCACAATCTCTATACAAATCTACAGATTAATTTTGCAAACAGATAAGTTCTTTAAAAAAACAAATGTAATAAAGATCTCGCGAGGAACATTGATTAACAAATTAGTGTACGAAATGCTGCTTGTACCTATGCAATCGCGTTTAGGTGTCAAAGGTATTGTAGTTGGCGGCGGGACACACAACGATCCACCGCGCTGAACGAGTTCAATTTCAAAATTGGTTCGAGCTATAGACGTTACGAAGAGGAACAAGCTATGGTGATTAGTTTCACAATTCTTTTGCTTATACTTTAAATACGTGCAACTCGTCATATCTTCCATTGCCTTGCCCATTGCTATGGTCAAATTTGAAGAGATCTGTAATAAATAACAGTATATTCAGCGCAAACCTTAAATGCTGCGAAAATTTAAATTAGAAGACATAAATAAAAGAAGAATGACATCTTTGATAAACGTACTGGAGTTTGTTGTATCTCTTTGAGGAAAGTGTTCAGATCCGTTAATATGGTCTTTGTGGAAGCGTGACGAGATCGCACCACCGCCGAACATTCGCCAAACTGCGGCGAAAGCGGCAGTACAGAATTGGCCAATTGTCGACACAGCGGGCACAGGTATTCGCCCCGTTCGACCGCTATACTCTGCTGCCGCTGTTGACTACGAAGAGACTCTAGATAAGACTTGAGACAATCCAAGTGAAGATGGTGGCCACAAGTCTGCACGTGGACCCCGCCTTCCCAGCCCAAATTCAGCGACAGTACCCATGAAATCTGAAATACATATTTATAACTTTAAAAACATTCGATGGAATTCACTTCTCATAAAAAACTAAAGAAGAAAATATGCAGAATTTACATACTATGTTTTTATGATTAAATGTTATAAAAATATACGTACATATCCTTGTACATTTCTTATTTCTTACGTATTATTGACAGCTTAGGGCTAGACGCGAAGGGCAAGGGGAATCGTACGTCCGCTCCACCCAATCTTCTCTACTAGGTAGGTTCTGTCGAGGCGGTGGGGATATGCCCACAAGCGAGAACGCGTCACACGATTCTCGTCACCGCCTCGACAGAACCTAACTAGTAGAGGAGATTGGGTGGAGCGAACGGACGATTACCCTTGCCCCTCGCGTCTGTTAGCTTGTGGGTAGAGCGAATTCTTGTGAGCTATCAATAGTACGTATGGTTCTTCATTTACCGTGTTAAATAAACGACTCATTTCGTCTATTCTACGGTCGGAATAAGCTCCCCGAGTGTCTCCCTTCGGTATAGGCGGATCGTCGTCGGACGTAGGCAAAACCAATCTTTCCGGCGTCTGTCGTTGATGTCCAATAATGCTAGATGACTGTTGAGAAAATTCACACGCGTATAAATAACACGCGGTATCATTTGATATGTTGAAATAGTGAATTCAAAATTTTTTTCATCATTCGATAAAAAAGTGTGTGTTTTGTGATCGCTGAGAACTGATAAGAACGCATTACTTGAACTAATACAGCAAGTCCCATCGGCTTGTCCTCACTGCTGGGAGTAGTTTGATTACATATCACGCAGTCGTACTCTTTTTTACTGGCGAGTCTAGTCGTATTTTCCTCCTGATCCCAGTCCATACCGGATGATCCCGCTTCCTCTGTGAAAATAAAGTCGAACGAAAATACATAACAATCCTTAAAAAAAAAAAAGCAATAATTAATTTGCATCATAATTTACCGGTCTTCATTGCTTCTTCCATAAATTGCTTTTGCTTGTTGGCAAACTCCGCCATTAGCTTTTGCTGCCTTTCCTTCGCCCTTTTCCGTCGTTCTTCGCGCTCACGATTCTCCCGTTCGCGCTGTTCGTCCTCTTCGTTCTCCTGCATACGGGGCCACAATTTGTTCCTTGTCTCAATAATAGCTTGTTTACAAAGAGGATCTAAATCCGCTATTTTGCGAAGCAGCTGCGATATGAAGAAAGGCCCGTCGCCAATTCGCGATTCCTTCGACGACGTGGACGAGCTACTGCTGCTGCTGCCGGCATCGTTGTCAGAGATCGTGATATTTTGTTCGGTATTGTAGCCTGATAGTTGAGAGTGCAACTTCAACAATAGAGAAATAATGCTCTCCCCAACCTTAACCGATTGCGGCTGCATCTATAAAATAATATATAAGATATGAGCGTAAAAAAAAAAAACAGAAAGATTAATAAATAATACATGAGCTTTATACAATAGTCACTATATGCATAGTATACATATATATATATATTACCTGTAAATCTTTTCTGTTGAAGTGTTTGTGGGAATTCGACGTGGATGGAACGATTTCTGTAACCGCCCTGTAAGTAACCGGCTGTGTCGCGACTATCTCATTCCCGGTCACAACCGTTGAGCATTGAATAGCGGGTGGTAAAGCAGGTTGATTGTTAACCAAAGCTAATTATGTTAAAAGAAAATAAAAAAAAATTAAATACAATAGTTTCATTATAGAAAGAAAGCTTTTTGTATAAACAATAATAGATAAAATAACATACAATATGTAAAACGCAACGTACTATCTGATGAAGAAGACGATTCGATTGCCAGAGCCATAGATTCTTCCCCGGATGATGGTAGAGCTCTTTGTAACGGTATCGAGAGATCCTCGTCGCTGTTGTTACGCGGTATGGCGACGATTCCATCTTCGGGTACAATGGCTATATCATATTCCACTGTAAATGTGATAACACATATCGTGGGGAGGAAGGGAGAGGGAAACAGAGAGAGAGAGAGAGAGAATGTGTAAAAAAATATAAACATCTTACTGACCACTGGTCGATGGTAAAGCTGGCAGAGCACTTTCGGTCGACGGTAGTAAAGCCGGTAGTGATGTGGCGTTAGCGTTCGACGTGTTCTCGTTTCTGATGGTATCCACGGTGAATCCCAACAGCTCGAGAGAGGTTTCCTCCGTGGCATCTTCCGCGCCGTCGTTCAGCATCAAGGATGTTGCCACCTCGCCCACTTCGCCTTGAATCTCCCATTCAAACTCACCTATTAAATGTGTATTAGCGAACACGTTAGATTACTAATTCTATCTCTAATAGAATTAACTCGTTCGTTATGATATAACACTCACTATCCGAGCTATTCGGTTCCGACTCTTGGACTAGAATTACTCGAGGTATAACCGTCCTCAGATTTTCGAAGAGGCTGTCATTTTCGTACCATCCGGCCAAGTCCATATCTTTTATCACACGATAAGTGCCGCCGGTATACTGGCAAAGAGGACTTATCTGTAAAATGATATAAAAATTACACACAAAAAGAAAAACTATTCATTCGAACTAACTGGTTGTGTCGTCGAAGAAAATAATTTACTGATTTATCTCGGGGTTCTGCTGTGACAACCGCCATTTCCAAAAGATAAATCGCCAATGCCATAATATGTTCCGATATGTTGTGTCCGTTTACAGCCTTGTAGAGTATTATTAGGATCATAGCGTGAAAGACTCTGGAACGTAGAACGATTCGCGGATCATCGTAATCCGCCGATACCGGAGCAGGATGTCTGAACGGCGGCCAGGGAGTAGCACCATTTTTCAGTTTACCCGATTGTTTTACGCTGGAGAGAAATATCGGAAAATATTTTTGTTAAACAAACAATTGCTCTTTCACATATAATGAAATCGTTCTTGCGATAAATGAAAGTCTAAAACGTACTATTCCGTAAAACGATCCATGGATATCTGAAAATCTCTCCTGTGCACCGCTCGTAAGAGCACGTGCAACGGATCGAACAATTCGTCCCATACGTGAGGCTTCGGTACGTACATGCCTTGTTGCATATTGCCACTCGCTTCGAGATTTGGAGGTCTGTACTGTGCCACCTGCAGAAATTATACACGGTATGTGGAATTGTGTTGAAGACAACGAGAGAAAACACAACATAAAAATTTAAACAAAATCGATTAAAAATTGATTTAGATGAAAAATCTGTTAATGAACTAACTGCAGCCAAGACAGATTCAAAATCTCTGTTTTGTGTGGTTCCGCAACGTTCCGGCATCAGTTCCATCAGCTGACTGTGTGTCTTATCACCGGTACATAACAACGTCACCATTTCGAGACGTGACATTTCAGGATCTGATAAGCCTGGAATGAAAAAAGAAACAATTACATATATTATAATTATAATTATATATATCCCATTATATATATATATATATATATATATATATATATATAGAGAGAGAGAGAGAGAGAAATGTAAAGATTTTTTCTCAAATTTTTTAATTATAAAAGACTCACCAAGGTTGGTTCTCACGTTAACCAACATAGCTAAAAATGTCAAACAGCTCTCCAACATTGGAGTACCATGCTCGCCCTCGAGGTACTCGTTTTGCGGAGCGTGATACAGACACAAACTCATCCATTCCCTTACGTGAAATCTGCCAAGATTTTTCAAAACGTTAAAGATTATGCGCAGATATAAATTGAATATTTAATGAAATCGAAATAGATTTATCAATTATTAAACAAAACGAAGAAACAAAAATATTACTTTTCAATAATGGTTTTCAGAAAAACGTCTGGTAGTAATTTTGTGGCGCAGATTTGCAACAGATAAAGATCGGCGTCCACCATGGAGTTGCAAAAATTGCACTGTATGTAAGTCATAGCCTGACCCTTTATTTGCAATCCGTTGCGGACCCACAATCCATTCAAAATCTCGTAAAAAGCGACCTGAAAAAGCAAAGAAGATAGTTTTTTAAATATCTGACACGTTAGATGTTCACATTAGATAATAACAGAGATGAAGTGAGGCATTGTGACCGCGATAAAGCGCAATTGAACTTCCTGAAAACGCGAAATGTACGACTGCTGAATAAAAAAAAAAATATCTGTCTGATCGCTATTTGTTTGCGGCACGTTGATGTGTCATCAAAACCCACAAACTATGTTTTCCGACGACAGCCATATGACTATGTAATACGTCTCTTCATATATGCGTGCAGGATTTTAAGCCAACCGCGCGCCAACTTACATAAGAATAATGAGCACATCGCAATCTTATGTAAATACAAGCACGATAGATATATGTGTGTCTTAATACAAGTCACGCTATAATTGACTGATTCTCACACCTGATACAATAATTTACAAAGCGATAACAACTCTATAAATTGAATATTTTTATCAGTTTTAGTTAATGCAGTTGTTCTCTCTCTACACACATTGAAAATTTTATAACAACTATAATAATACTTGATACAATTTCTCTCAACCATATCCCGCTCTTGAACTTAACATTTCGTCGATTGTGCTTTGCAGCACTAGTCTCATTCATGGGTTGAATGTGTCAACGTTAAAAGGTCATTTTATCTTTGCTTTATACATTAACTAATAAGCGATAAAGATATCGCTAGCCTTTATATCTTCAGCCGTTGTCTCACGAGATAATGTTGTCGAGTACATTCACTTGTGGACGTTGTTAATTACTTGAAAAATCTAAGTTCTCGCGTTAAGCACAGAAATTTTTTGTAAAAAAGTTTTAGTCGTAAGGTCATGAGCCAACCGACTAATTGCAGACCAATATTCTTACTGGCCTGTGAGTGGCACCAGGGGTACATTCCAAAATCCTACAGTGGTAACCGAAAGCTAAAGTACACGTGACGTGAAATATAGCATTTTAGTAACCGAGGTAGGATTTTGAAGCCAGAGAAAAACCTGAGAGCGCGGGCCATCCATGGAATTTGAACAATCGCAGATACAAATCAGCTAATCGACCAACGTGACTGATCAGTTCCACGAGACCTGCGTTTAATGTGTGGGGCTTTGAGATCCACTTTTGTAGATACGGCGCTGAAAACCAGCGGGTGAAACCCTCGTAAAAAACTGCAACAGGACGGCCGCTCTCGGTCTTGTCTCTGTTGGCACAAGGAAATGGATAATCTGTTCAAAATAAAGCGGGAACTTGTGAATTCAGAACTGGTTTAATATTGGAATCGAAGAGAAGCAAAGGCGCGTGGGTTGGAGACAGATACGATCCACATGTATGTGTTCACGCGCTTGTATCTGTATACAACCAACGCGAATACACAATAGAGCCCCCCTCCTCGTCCGTCCATTGCCATTCACTTCGCCAGCGCGTAACGGTCGTGCCCATCGAGACGCGCACAGGCCGTTTAGTCCCGGCGTGTCAACCGACACACACTTGAAACGGAATTCTTCAAATATTTCTTTTGTTTCGCGCGTCGCAGGACTCTCCTCCGACATGATCGAGTTTCGGACATCCGCGACTTTGATCCTCGTCCTGGCGACGCTGAACGGAGGCGGTGGCTTCGACCTCAACCTAAACGACGCCTTGGACATGATCAGACTCGGTCGCGAGACCGTGGTCGAGCTAATGGAATCCTGGGACGTGATACGTACGCATAGTAGCGCGGCCGCGCAGGAACAGGATTACTTGTTCGTGAAGAGAATGGAGAAAGAGCTGCGGCAACGAATCGACCGCGTGTCGAGGAAGATCGACGTCTATCAGGAACGGACGGAGATCAAAATCGACGCGATTCTGACGCAGCTGCTGCTCCGACTCCCGATGCAACGTAGACTGGACGACAGTCTCAGAGAACTGGATCACTACGTCGGCCAGGTGCACGGGTTGTACAATTTGTTCGAGAGATTCGCGAAGAATCCGGACAGGTACGAGAGATACACGATGGTGCAGTTCGCAAAATCCTGCGTGTCGCCCAGATTGGGCGACCTTCCGGACGTTCTCAAGTCGATACACAGGCTCACAGTGCCGTCCGAACAGCAGGTGTACAACAGGAGCGTTCTCGTGCTTCTGGCCCATCAGATGCAGGTAGGTATCGTGAATGACAAAAAGAGGCTTTTCACTGAACAAACATTGTGCGAACAGACGGTCCTTTGGCGAATTTTGCTCAATGAAATCTGTAATCTTAGACTCAAGTGTTATAAACGAATAAGATTACAAACATGTTCCAAATAACAGTCACAGGATGGATCAAGAATAGGAAAAGACTGATGTGACAATAAGAACGAACATGTCTGACTAACTTTCTTTCAGATTCAGGGTGAAAGACCCAATTACTGTCACCTGAATAATAAACTCTGGCGTTAGTGAATTGTTTTTACTACTTATTTATCAAAAACATGTGTTTTTCTTCTTATCTAATATTATTCGATGTCTCTGATACAAGAAACAAAACAATACCGTCTCTCAAAATCTCTATTTTTATTTGTAAATTTAATAATTTAAAAAGAACAATGCGAGAGCTATTACCGTCACCCCTGAAATGAAAGAAATGAAACACAAGTGCTGGAGATTTTTTGTTATATCAATTGCACTTAAAATTCTATGTTAGATTGTTTTCACGCATAACTTTTTAGGATTTGTTTAATATTTTTAATAAAATAGCTTAGGGTGACAGTAATTGGGTCTTTTACCCTATTTTGTTGGATGTGCTCTACACACATCAAGTTTTCATGTTTGTAGAATTGATAAGAAAACGTCGACTGGTTTGTAGATCAAACAAGTGAATAATCGAGTTTTGTTTGGAAATACCCAAAAGTCTAATCCGCAACTTTCACGAAAGTTCATCTTATCAAATTCAACTTATCAGAATATTTCTTCCTTCTTTCTGAGACACGATGAAAGCTTTCTATAAAAGCTTATTTGTTATTTAAATCTAAAACTGTCACACACACACGAGAAATAAGTTCAGTTGAGAGAAACTTGAACAACAAAATGATCCTATAATTTCGCGAACGCAATTGCTCGTCGCGCTGCGTCCGAGCTGCATCTTGGACTTCTTGGAATGACTAAACACATTCTGTCATCTGCGACTCGAAGCAAATATTCGATGTTACGTGTAAATTCCGCTTGTCGACGATTGAAAACGGGTCACACGCGACAAGCGAAATTTATTCGAGAGAGAGTGCGAAAAATATTGCCGTTCTTCGCATCGTTTAACAAATGATGATTCAGCTGCGAAGAATATTAATTACATGTACGCGTGCAGATGTAAATTATTCGAACAGGCTCGGGAGGTGAAAATGGATTCGAGGAACTTTCGACAAAAAAACACAGAGGAGAGACCGTCACATTGTCCGCTGTAAACTCTGGAACGTCAGACACAAGTTTCGTTACGTTTTAATTTACGAGAATTAGTCATCGAGTCGACCCCGTCATCGCGGCCAATAAACGGGCATCCGTCTCGGAAGGAAATCTAAGATCTCGAACGATTAAAAGCAAGCGAAAATAAATAAAACGAAAGAACGTCGTTTTAAACCCCGAGCTTTGAATTGACAACAGCTCGGAGGGATCCAGTGCAACGAGTCCGATAACATCGTAACAGGAACCCCATTGTGTCTATTAAGCGCGGACGGGAGCGCGGGCATTAGGTGCTGAGAAATGAGATATATCGCGCTCTGGATCAAGTGACTCTGCTGAAAGTGAATCTGCCGTGGCGATTTTTTACTCGTGGGTTTTGAAACAAATAAAAAAAAAAACATGTAGAATTACACAGACGGAAATCTGTCATTTTCCGACGTTTCGTCGCGTTGCTAATAACACGAATCAGCGAGCTGTAGCGCACAAGTCATTTTGATCAAAATCGCAATCGGGTAATCGACTTTGCAGAAGTTTGAAGAAAAATACGACTTTTTAAATCGCACAATTGATTGTCTCTTTTTCTCTCTCTCTTTCTTAATTTTATATTTTTCTTCTTTTCTTTTTTTCTGTATTTTATATTATTTTATTCTACTTTCTTTTTTGCCCCTCTTTTGAATTACTTTAATTATTAGTTGTTAATTTGATTATGAACTAATTTTATATTCAATTGTTACGTCGCGTTCTATGTACCACCTCTTTATATTTAATTGTTATTTGCTACTTGCTTGTAACGTACTAATTTTTATTTAATTGTTATTTAGCGCTTTAGGGGATATTATCCCGGAGCGCTTTATAGATAAAGCTGCATTCATTCATTCATTCTCTCTCTCTCTCTTTCTTTATTTTATTTTTCTTCTTTTCTTTTTCTGTATTTTATATTATTTTATTCTACTTTCTTTTTTGCCCCTCTTTTGAATTACTTTAATTATTAGTTGTTAATTTGATTATGAACTAATTTTATATTCAATTGTTACGTCGCGTTCTATGTACCACCTCTTTATATTTAATTGTTATTTGCTACTTGCTTGTAACGTACTAATTTTTATTTAATTGTTATTTAGCGCTTTAGGGAATATTATCCCAGAGCGCGCTATAAATAAAGCAGCATTCATTCATTCATTCATTCTCTCTCTCTCTCTCTCGAGTGAGAAATGACGGGATATTGATCGGTTTTACAACAATATCAAGCGAGCGACTGAGCGAAAGAGGCTGATGCACATATATATATATATTATGTTTCAATGAACATCAAAGAATTTTACTTTGGAGTTTTAATTACGAAGATGATGTAACGTTGAGAAGTTGTGATACATACGCAGTCATTTTTTTTTTTTTTCACACGGTCTGATTAGAATTTTCTGTTGCACTTTGTAGCCGGTGAATAATCTCCTACACGTAGCTACACAAGAGAGGAGAGTTTTTCGCGCGTTTCTCGCTAAGTGTGTGAACACATCATATCAAACGGATGATGGAGAGGAGAGCGCGGAGACATGCGCGCACACGGGAAGATACGTAACACCACGAGTACGGGAAACGACGTGTGGGGATCAGCGGGGGCCACGGAGGTGGACAGGAGACATCGGCGCATGAAAGTCAGTCGAGTATGGTCGACCGATCGGTGAATGTGCGTTGTGGGTTTATAACTTCAACCAGTACACCCGGGTTGTCCGTCGCTCCCGCGATCAATCGTTGCAATTAAAGCGGGGAGAGACACGTTTTCTCGCGCATTCCGCGCGATTTGTCAATCGTGTGTGTCACGGTGCGCGAAAAAGGTTTGCATCGTCGACGAAATTTTTGTTTGTTTGTGAGCTCATCGAAAAGCCCATCGGGTCTCGCAAGAATTGTGTGACCTGCGATCGTGACGAAAATCCCGAGAGAGAAACAAATTTAGAAAGCGCAAACGCGTGCTCCGACGACACGATTGTTGAAAAAACCAATTTTTCAACGTATGCACTTTTTTTTTGCGCGCGATACATTGATATATTAAATCGGACTCGAAGCGCGCGTTCGAGAGAAGTTGGTCAAAAGATCAAGATGGCCGATTAAATGAAAAATGATTTTAAAACGTTGTTTCCAAAAAAACATTTCTCTCTCGCGATTGTTGTTCTCGATTCTGATGACCAGTGGTCGAAGCAGGAAGTTTGCAAACGACCAACATACGTTTCGCGGCTTCGCCAAAATCTCTCGGGATTCTTCGTTTTGACCACCACTGGGTCATCATCGATTGTAGTCGAAAGAAGCAATTTAACTTCTTTGTGTCCGTCCGTTTCTTACGAGGTTTCCCACGCGGATTGTGTTCGCGCGAAAAACGCTGAAACGCGTGAGAAAAAATCAGAGTTAAACTTCGATTAACTTCAATAATTTTTATATAAAATTTAAAACTTGCGTTTTTTGTTTGACTCGCGCTCTTCTCCATCGGACGTTGATAGCGGTCGCAGATTTCTCGGAATTTGAATGTAGAAGCGACCGGAAATCGCGCGCGGAAAACGCGAGACGATTAGAACGGATGAAGGAAGGAAAAAAACTTAGCAAAATATCCCGCGACTTTGCTACTTTTGTTGAACAGAAGCGCTTGTTTAATCTCGTCGAAGAAAAACAGCTGCACCCAAGTGCTTTAGTTCTCTAGAACTGGATTGTGCACTAAATGCGTCATTACGCACTACCTCTCTTTCCTCTCGCGCGCTACGTCAAACACGAGATCGCGTATATCTTCTCATTCAACGATGACGTTTGCCGATACAGAAAGGTCGCGTTGGGTTTTATCTCGTCGTTGAAAAATACAAACTCGCTATTTAAATCGCGTGATATCAGACGCGCTGAAAATGATTGAATAACAATGTCAATAAAGATTGATTAATTAGATGAGAAAACAAATAATATAAATGTAATATAAAACGATTTGTTATAACGCACGATAACAGGATTCACAATTTTCGCGTTCTCTTAACGTCCTTAACAGATACAAGTTTCGCCGAGGTAGGTAAAGAAACAAAGAGAAATAAAAATCTTTTGCGGAACGGCATACGAGCGAAGAAGTGAGTCACCGGTGAAGGTCTGTGACTTGAGAAAAAATAAAATGAGACACTTCGCGCGTTGCTGGCTGTTTGTGGTGCTGGGCGCGTTGGCCGCGGTGGCTCTTGCCGCGATCAGGAACGACGCGTCGACGGTCGACGGACTTAGACAAACTCTGTTGCAATTGGAACGGGAGTTGAAGAAGAAACTCGCCGACGAGCGAAGATGGATGAACGTCACGAACGAGCAGGAGAAGTATCTGTTTCTGATCAAAGCGTACAAGAGATTTGGCAACGAGGTGGACAAACAATTTCCCGCGGACCGACAGGATCACTTGCGATCGCTGGACTCCATGTGGCTTTGGGCCCGCGCGAAGGTCGAGGCCAAGAGCGTCAACGGCTTGTACAACGTGTTCAGACAGATGCAGCGCGAAATCGTCGAGCTGAACGCGCCGATTAACGCGAAGCAGCTGGCGAATTTTGCCGAGACGATTCTGCGAGATCCAAACGCCTCGATACCGAGAGCTCTCGATCGCATCATGAGTTTGATTCTTCACGAGAAGTTGTTCCTAGCAGCTTCTCAGGTATCTTAAATAATAGAAAGCAATTGAGAGATCTGTCAAAGAACTGTTTCTGTATTTATACAAGCAAAATTCTTTCTCAACAATGCGCGCAAAGACAAAGTGTTTTTTTTTCCTTCTGACAATTTTCAGACAAATTGAAAGAAGATTGTTTTTCGGATAGAACAGAAATGTAGTTTTTAATACTAGTTTGTAAAATAAAAAAATTGAATATCCGCGAAGGAAATATGTTTTCTTTTTTTTGTCCGCGCAGGAAGCGTCGGAACAAATGTGCAATGAGAAGCAATCGCCGCAGCAACTGCTGTACAATTTGTACAATGCCGTGGCTTTAACGGAGATCAAGGGTTACAGCATGATTCAATTCTCGTACATGTTGCTCACTTTGTACAACGAAGGTACTTGACTTCGACAATTACGTTTAAGTATATGTATTTTAGAACATTTTTTTTCGCACACGCGATCTTTCTGTCTATAAATTAACTTAATGTCTACAAATTAAAACACTTCCGCTTGAAACGTTAAAAAAAAAAACGAATCTAATCCTGAACTTTTAACACAACAGGCAATAACTTTAGCGAAGAGATTCAAATGCTGAAGAATCAGTACGAGACCAGAACGTCTGAGACACTGAGAGCGGTAAAGATCTCAATGGCCTTCGCTCCGAGAGGTATTTGGAGATGTGATCCAAGCAGTCACAAGTTGGGTAAAAAATCCTCTAACACATAAATACGATAATCAAATGCATGTACGTGTACGTACAATTTGCATACAAATTATCGCTTTGTTTTTTTTAGACGAAACCTACACGGAGTTGAAGCAAGTGTTTCAGGGATACATTGTAAACGAGGTGGATCTGAACGGCGACAACACGTGCAAGGAGAACTGCGCTTATTACGGATACACCAAGCAATACAGTTGCTATAAGAATCTGTTTTGTTCGAGACAACGTCAGTGCAACGGCAAGATACTTCATTGCGAGTACATCGATTCCGACATGTGGATCTGTCCCTCGGTATGTCGATCGAAAGAGCCAGAAACGCCAGAGAGTAGTTTGATTTGTGGGATAAGAACTTGGTTTTGCAAATCACCAAGTGCTCGTTCGATAATTGTTTGGATGTTCTGTTACTTAGGAGAGAAACAGCAACCGAAGATACGAATACATTCAGTACGAGAACGGTCTCGTTTACGGAAACAAGAACACGTGTCAGCGAACAACGACCAAAGTCGACAGCTGGTGGCGATGGCTATTCTGGCACTGCAGCTATTGCTTTTGCTATTGCGACGATCACACATTGAATTCCGATCGTTACTTCAGTCTTCGATCCGTGACGTCCGACATCTCGAATAACAAGTAATAAAGCAAGAATCTAACGTACAAAGAGAATAACAGAGTATCGACAGAACTTTTTAAAAACTTCAAAAGAAAAACAAAGTTAAACCTTAAAACAATACACGCGCGTAATTATTTACAGAGTTATAACGGGGGCGAAATTGAAAAAAGTGAATCAAGTCGTTCACATACAAATTCAAGAGGGTCAGTTGCTACCGCGTGGAGCGATCAATGCGTCCACAATCAACTGGCAGCCGATCAATGGGTTTTCCATCATGGACAGTAACGTGAGAAGCGGCGTTGATTATCACAAAATTGTGTGGGAAAAACGCGCTTTGGATCTCGACGATCTGGTTTCGGCGCAAGATCATCTGTTGACAGGTACCTCTTCCTTCGACGCGTCGAAATTCATTTTTGTTTCACAAATTTTGTTTGGAAAAAAATTTGAATTTTGTGCTTTGTGTTAAAAAAAAAAAACAATCAGGAATCCGATTCCGTATGGTCGGCAGTCGATTGAACTTGGAAATCAGGGTGACACCGTTCAATTTCACGTCCGGATTGTTAATTCAACCGGAGGAGAAGAGTTTCTGGCACAGCAACGACGTCACCGACAGGTAATGTTTTTTTTTTCATATCATTTTCTTCTTAGTTTTGAGAAACAAGCGTTCAACGATGTTTAAATCTCACAATTCTGATTTTTAGAACCGAGCTGAAGTTCGTCGACCCCGACATACCGATCCGCGATCCCGTTCAGCACGTGCCGGATTCCGGGGTGAATCAATATTTGAATTTCGCACCGAGCGATCGGCGAAAGGACGCCGCGCAAAGCACGATTCCATTTATCGACGTTCAACCGATCGAACTGAATCCGGCAGTGCCGATCGCCGGGGCCGGTGTTATTCACAAAGGTCACAAAGGTTCGGGCGGCTTCGTCGCGATGAAATTGATCACCTACGATTTCGCGCCTCATTTGCAGATCGATCTGCCGCCGGCACCGCCGGTTCTCGAAGCTCCGAACGAAATCGAACTTCTTCCCGAAGCTTCGTAAAATTGTTCGTCTTTTTTTTTTTTTTTTTTTTTTTATACTTTGTTAAAATATTAAAGAAACCTGTGATTTTAACAAGGACCTCAATGTACATACCGAGGTGCAAAACGCGTATCGAACGGTTGAATATAAAATGTCGAATTCTAAAAGTTTTATGAAACATAATTGATTTAAAAATAAACAAATATCGATAGTTTAACGTTTAGAAGCTGCAAATGCTGTGAAAACGTTTACTTGTTCTTTTATTTTCCTCTTTTAAGTTTATCCAAAATGAAAATTCGCGGTTTACTTTAATTAATTGTCTCAATCATTTGTTATATTACGTCTCCTTGAAAATTATCTCTCTGAGATTTTTTTTATTAAAACCAAATCTGAACGCCGAACATTTTATATCCAACTCTGATCTATAATGTGTTTAGATTTCGTTACAAGCAACTTTGTAATTACGTACGGATTTTTAATATACTATTGTAAACTCTCATTTTGTACACTCGTAGAAATACACTCGTAGAAATACACTCGTAATGAAATAGTGTACTGTCAAATGCCAAATGAATTAATAATTTTTAAGCGTAAAGTATAACACAGAAGAAGTCTCTGACTACAGAATCTCTTCCACAAATTAAGTTTCTCTTACTTGTTTCTTTAATAGTAGAAAAGTTTATCTTGAAATTTATCATATTTAAAAAAATGCAGAAATATATCGAGTATATGAAGATAAACACATATGTTAGAACAGCAAAACCTTTCTCTCTGCATTTCTCAAATTTGATTTTATCAATAAAACATTTGAGTTCAAGTTTACGATTATAGTGTAGTTAGCTATTAATTTTATATAAATTAGTTGTAAGATTTTAAAATAAAATATCACACGATATATACAACAACAAACTTGTTTGTAAAATGTATTTTCTAATTTTAGAAACTTCATTGCAAAATGTTTGGAAGTTTCTTTGTAATTTTGTGAAAAAAAAATTTGTTTTTTTATTATCAAGCGCGACGAGCGTAGAAAGTCTTTCAAAATAATTAAACGTAAAGAAACGACGTATGCGCGCTTTGCCTATATATACAAATTTGTATGCCATGCATGAGAACGAGCGGAAAAAAAGAAGTATTTTATTCTAGTTATTAATTCTTTGTGGTTTGAATTTTAATTAAACACGATCGAATAACTAATCAGCGTGAAAGACGCTTTCGTGTTTTAAATCTTTCAAGCATTTTAACAAAAAGTATAAATAAATTATAATATTTACCCCACAAGGAATTAATAAGACTGAAAGGAAAAGTGTGCGAGAACTCACTTGTATTCGTAGCGGGTGCATCATGAGAAGATGCAGCACATCCGTGGGCGGTAGCAGTTCGCGTAGAGTCGCTCCCTGTTGTCTGATCGCCTGACACATGAACACCGCGAGATATCGATGAAGCGGCAGATGAAACGACACTTGTAAACTATCGCTCTAAAAGAAGATAATAAAAGTCAAATATATGTAATTCTATGTAATCGCAGTATCCAAAATAAAGAAAAACGAGAAAGCGAGACTCACCACGTTTGGATCCGTATAGTTGACAGCGTCAAGCCAATCTTGCAAAGCTGTGAGACAGTAATTGAGCACTCGTCGGCTGAGCGCTGCGCTCTCGGGTCCGCGAAGATGCGAAACCATGGCCCACATTGGATACGCGCTAGCCTCCAGCTCGGCACTGAATGCCGCGTAATACGTGTTGGGTTCAAATTCCACGTGCTGACTCAATTCTCTCTGGTTGACGTTCATACCTTGGAACATCGACAAAAAGTCAAACCACATTTCCAGAAGAGTGTTGTCACTCATGAATCGAACGGCGACCGGTTTGTGTGACAACACGTTGTTCAAATCGGAAACCAACGGCCAGTAACAATGCTCCTTCATCACCTGACGTCCGCAATCCACGACGTAATGAAAGTTCTTGTCCGGATCTGTGTGTAAACAAGAAATCAAAAATAATAAAATCTTTTCGCATGTATCTTCGACACACGTTTCTTCTCAGATTCGTATATTTTGACTTTCATTTGTAAAACTACACGCGGAATATACGTACCGTGTAGAGTATTTTGAATGAGTATTTTGCTCATCATGTATTTCAAGCTGATAACCATCACGTGTAACAACTTCAACTGATCAACCATTTTTACGGCCAGCTTCTGGTTACTAAAGAGCTGGAAAAATTTCAAGGTGGATGTGAGTATAAAAAGAATAATAAAAAGTTAGATAAAAACTATGGAACAAAAATTTTTACCTGCACGCTAACATGCACCACTCTGTTGCTCAGCGTGTCGGGATCCGTGGAACGTTCGAGCATCATTGAGATTCTACTGTAATGTAGCACGAAAGCGCGAGTTAAAGCCTCCTTGTAATCGGGATCCGGCAACATGTTCAGGAGAAGACAGACCAACTTCTGCGGAAACTCGTAAGCAACAGTCCAGAACATCAGTTCCTCCAAAAAGGTAGTGTGTTCCAAATGTTCTTGAAGCGACACGCATTCTGAGACAAAGTGGATTGTTAAAAACTATTTGTTCACAATTACGATTCGTGTCTTTTATTGCACCAGTAAATTGTTATTAGTAAAATGAGATCGGGACAATGGCGAAACATTTATACGTAGAACTGCTTCACACGCTAAAGTTTAGATCGCTTACCTTTATACTCGTCAGGAGGTTCTGGATTCGGCAACGACTTGACGGCATGCTGATATATCTTGTTACTATCTTGACAATAATTGTCGTATTCCGATTGTCCTGTCAAGTTCGACGGATCCATGAGACCTCGGTATTTTTGTGGATTTGTGAGAGCTGATGTAATAACGCGTCTCATTAATGCGCCCATGTTGTTCAGATCGAGAAGCATCGTTAGATACCGATCCGCCTCGTGTATAGCGCTTCTGTAATCTGGTACTCCCATTTTACTGAAACACAAAAAAAAACGATTGTTACACAAAATTATCTAATCAACACATTGCGCCTAATTGCACTTGTGAAGAAAATGTTTTATCAAACTTTTTTACTTTGCAACGTACCAATTTTCACGCAAGTGTTGAATAAGCCGCAGAATAATTCTGGGCATCATTGCCTCGGCTACGCACATCAAGTCTGATGGCGCGACTGACTTGTTTACAGCAGCCTTCGGCCCGTGTCTATCACAAAATCTGTGAGACCAAAAATAAATTAACAACCGACGGATCAACAAATCCATCCGAAAATTATTCCTACAAGAGAATCTTGTTACAACAAGAGAATCTTGTTGCAATATAATCTTCACAGAAAGTTTATGTTACAATATTGTTGAATATAAAAGTTAGATGTCTTACAATGATGAGATTGAAGGTAAATTAAAACAGACAGTAATTAAAATGACACTTATATGTATCTGATAATTTTTCTTTGCTGATTGTACGTTGGTACAACGATCTTACCCAATTTCCTTCATCACATTTGTGTCGCCGCAATCACACGCACCACCTGCTTGGCTAAGAAACATGTTGAAATCATGTCGATGATGATTTCCTTTCTTAAAGCACTCCGTGCACAAGGACATGCAGGGAGAGATGCCGCAAGTACGGCACCGATATGCCACAAAGTTTGGTGTCCATACCAAACCGCAGGTGGTAGCATTATCGTAAGTACGTACTGAAAAGAGGAAATTGTTTTTTTTTTTTCAATATAAAATAAATAACCAAGTGACTCTCTTCCAACTCCTTTTAACAAAACAATTGTCAGTTTGTAAAGAAAAAGGTGTCTCAAAAAAATTTACATACAATTGACGAGCGATTTAAATTTACAAATTTAATTGCAAATTGACTGATGCGTATCGTGTGTTTATATTATTATTCGCTTGATCGCGAAAACTTGAAGATATATAACGCACGAAACTTGTGCAACTTTCGGCGTCGAAAAAATTCAATGTTTAATTTCTATATAACCGTAAGTTAAGGTTGGAAACTGCGGCTATTAAAGAGCTCTATACTTGTCTGCCATTGAATATATATGTTTACCTGAAAAATTTTTGGCGCTGCCAAATACGCAAATTGTGCATATTTATATCCGCACTTGCAATATACTTTGTGATGCGAAACGACATCATCGAACAAATGTTAAAACGAGCAGTGCATCGCACAAAAAATTACTATTGTTACGGGAGAGGGGATTAAATAACCCCCTGCAAAATGTATCTTATCCAGATTACCCCAATTTTTTTTAAACGCTACGTGTAGTTTTTTGCTCCATTTTGTATTCTGATTTAAGAAACTTGAAAAAAAAACAAAACAAAAATTAAATTTGGAAAAAAAGTTGTGTCGCGCGTAGTGGATTTTCTCGAGCGTTAAAATTTCGCAAAAAGAAAAACACAGAAAAAAAAAAACATTCGCCATCATCTCGTCGCGAATGTCTACCTGTGCTGGCGAATTCGTCGGGCGTGCGACCGCCGGCCATCAGCCACTTGCACCAGTCAATGGTCTCCCAGTCGTCGATGGCCGTGCTGGGGTTGAGCAGAACGTCCAGCAGCTCGTTCAGGCAGCCACCAGTGTCACGGCTGATGTAAGCGGCCGCCCCACGTTTGCCCTTGCCCATTAGCACCTGTACGTCCGGGGATGTGCTGCTTGAGGTCGAGGCCATCCTGAACCCCTGGTTGTTTACTTCGGAAGAGCACGACTTGTTGTTGTTGTTGTCGTCGTCGTTGATCCGTTGTGTTGTTGTCGTACTCTCGGGTCTCGGGTTTCAATAATCACTTGGACTTTTATTTATTTATTTACGAAGTAGCGAGTAAGGTCCACGGACCAAGCATTCGGCCAGTGGTCCCGCATATCAGCACTGGGAGGACGCGTTTCCTCCCAACGGCATCGACCCGGAAAACTTCGTCTTCGTCGTCTTCGTCGTCGTCGTCGTCGTTGTCGTCGCGGCGGTCGCGGCTGACAACAGCATGACGAAGTTCGATGGTTCCGTGCGAGCGAGGACTCGCCGTGTGTTAAAACGGCAAACGTGTGTTAACGCGGCCGCCGCGCGTTTACCGTATGCGGTAACCGCGACGTTAAACCGGTCGTTGATTTGACGGCGGCTTCCTTCCGGGTTCCCCGGTCGCGCGCGTCTTCTTCGGGAACGGGATACGCGCACGGGGCGACGACGAGAACGCGCACACGATCACGGATGACTCGCGCCCAGCGGGCGAAAATTGGCGACGACGACGACACGACACGGCACGGGCACGACACGGCACGGCGTGATACGAAACTTGTGATACGAAGATGCGCGAGAGAGGTTCGATTCGGCAAAAAACCGACGAAAATGTATCGACGAACGTCGAAGAAGAACCGATCGATCAACCGATCGGCCGAACCGATTTGAACCTTTGAGAAAAATGACTCCCGGGAAGGGACCGACACGAAGTGATCGGAACAGCCTCCACTGGCGCGTCCGCTGTCTCGCTCGACGATCACTGAACTCTCGTCTGCTTTATCGACGTGGTTGAGGTCGAGACGTGATGCTAAAAACGCTCTAATATGAAATTTATATATATATATATATACGTCAAATCAAAAAACCGATCGAGACGAATATTAATTTGTCAGGTCCGATGGAATCACATCCGCTGTATATTTTGCCCTCGAGAGATTTAATCCGTCTCTTTCTCTCGTCAGTGATAATTCTTACATGGTTAATTAATGAGCGATGACTACCTATTTTAAGCGTAAACATTTGTTTCGGAGTAAAGCTGAGGACGCACGAATAAAAAACCTTAAGGCTGGATCCTCGTGTAGATACCGGCGCTTTGACACCGAGCGCTTTGATTGGCGGAAAGCGGACGGGTGAGGGTAAATGGAAGATCTAATTTATCCTCACCACCAGTTGTCTGAACACACCCATTGGGTGCGTTCAGACAACTCAACGGTTGAGAGATCATCACTTATGATAGGACTATTCTTGAAAATCTACTGCGGTTCCAAAAGTATGATCCAATCAGAAGTGATTATCTCTCAACCTATCTTGTGCAACTGTTGAGTTGTCTGAACACACCCAATAGGTGTGTTCGTCCGTGATCGGCCAATCACAAGCTTAATGGGTGCGTTCAGACAACTCAACGGTTGAAAGATCATCACTTATGATAGGACTATTCTTGAAAATCTACTGCGGTTCCAAAAGTATAATCCAATCAGAAGTGATTATCTTTCAACCTATCTTGTGCAACCGTTAAGTTGTCTGAACGCACCCAATAGGTGTGTTCGTCCGTGATCGGCCAATCACAAGCTTAATGGGTGCGTTCAGACAACTCGACAGTTGCGCAACAGTTGAGAGATAATCACTTCTGATTGGATCATACTTTTAAAACCGTATTAGATTTTCAAGAATAGTCCTATCATAAGTGATGACTCTCAACCGTTGAGTTGTCTGAACGCACCCAATGCTCAAGTTGTTTTCGTGTGTGTCCGGCTTAAAAAGAACTTTTTCGATTCTTGTATTGCGGAACGACCGGTGAATGGTGTGCGGATTGACCTTTACGGTTCAAGAGCCACACAAGCGCACCGAACCAACGCGAGGATATGAATGCAATAGTAAATAATAGCAAACAGACGACAATGAGAACTGTTGTGAATTTTCTGAAAAGTAGCGCTTATTTGTCGAGAGGTTACGCCCAAACCGTGGGCGACTACAACATTGTCTGGGTCAAACCCAAAAAGAAGACCAAAGCCGAAAAGCTCTTGGCTGACAGATCTGGCGACCAGGGACTAAAACTCGACGTCAAACCGTCTGACTTTTGTCTCAAGTACGACGAGTCTCCCGAGTTAAAAGAGTAAATATCAATTATACAATTTAACCAAGCGACATTACATTCTGGTAACATTGTTATTTAATCACTTTTACTTTTAGTGCCAGCGATCTTGTTAAAAAAATGTTTACGTTGCAATTTCAACCTTGCAAACAAAGACACTTTGTTGAGAGAGCCAAAGCTGTGGATTTGGTAAAGAGGCATGAATTGGATGCGAAATCTCCGGAAGCTCAGAGTAAGCTGCAACCGATGACAAAAATGCGCGTATAATCACTCTCGCTGAAATAGCTTGAATGGTACTTTGCGGGTTTTGGTTTTCAGTTGCCGCTCTGACCAGTCGCATACATTATTTGCAAGAATATGTAGTAGCAAATCCGTATGACAGTTCAACAAGAGTAGCTTTGAAAGAAAAGATTGAAAGGAGAAGAAAATTTTTGAGATGTCTTCGATTGGCGGATTACAAACGTTTCGAATGGGTTTTGGAGAAACTCAATCTCATTTACAAACCATTGCCAGAGTAAGAGACACTTTGCGTCAAGAGTATTGTGTGTACTTATTAGAAAAAACAAATTTATTTCACATATAAAAATTATATGTGAAATTTATTTATTTTTTTAATTTTTTTATTTATTTAAGTATTATTCTGTACAAACAAAATAATTAGTTTATTTCTTGTAAAGTATGTGTTACATGTGCATTACATTTGTACGCTTCGCAGGCCGCCGTTCCAAGTCACCAGGAAAGATTCTTTCAGACGATTAACAAAAAACCATTGTGACACTATAATGCAAGACAAACTGGACAAGTATAAAAGTGAGTTGAAAGAGTTGCAGAAAGAATTTTACAAGGAAAAGGCTGAGAAGCTTGCGTTTATCAGGAAGGAAGAATTAGAATGTAACGTAGAACCAACGGTAAGCGAGGAAGATGTTACATGCGCTCGAGAAAAAGCAAAGGAATACGAAGTGTAATGTTGTTATTTAAAACATAATATCATATGTGTATATAATAGACAAAATGTTTATATAATAAGTTTATCTTTTCCCTTGTGTTACATCGTCAAAAAAATAGATCTTTAGAAATTTAAACGTTAAGGCTTGTATTCACGATTCTAAATATCGTTGGAAATTCTCTTGGAGAGAGAATCGACCAACGCGATTGGTTTTGAATTCTAGTAACTTATTTTTCGAACCAATAAAATTGTCCAATTCTGTAAATTACAACGACGAGAAATTTCACATAGAAATAGGCTTTGAGGCTGTCACGTGTCTGCTTTATCGGCAGAGTTCACAAACCTCTGCGTAATGACAAGTTTGTCCTTTTGATGCTGCGTGTACCAAGTGTGTGCGGTTTACTGTGGTAAACAAATTTTAAATCGCAGGTAATCCATCGTATAAAACACCATCGAATTTTAATTTGCACGATTAGGAATTTGTTAGATTCGTTCGCTTATTCCGATGATCGTATTTTGCAATCGGCTTGCGGTCTTCGCGAGATATTCCGAGTGCGAAGTATGCGCGGTTTCGTGCCTTAAAGCATCTTGTCCACTTCTATATTCTACACAAAAATACTAACACGAACAGAAACGCACATTGTATTGTTAACATTTTATTACATTCTTGTTACACAAGTTTTATGTAAAATTTTGTTCTCAATTGTTCGTTTGCAATTCACGTGTATCTCCGTTTCCAGAGGTTAGATCAGATTTGGTTAGGTTTTTTTTTTTTATTGAAAAAAACGTGACAAGTAGAGCGCCAAAAAATTTGAGTGATATTTGTGTAATTGTGTAACGGTTGTAGTTTTGCTAAATAATTTAATGAAAAATAACGTTTATATTTTTTATTTCCAGCCATGGTGCGCATGAATGTTCTCAGCGATGCTTTGAAGTCCATCAACAATGCTGAGAAGCGGGGTAAGCGACAAGTATTGTTGAGACCCTGCTCAAAAGTAATTGTTAAGTTCTTAACTGTCATGATGAAGCATGGTAAGTAAACAAATTTGTACAAGTTGGGTTTAAATGTTTTCATTTCTTCCGTATATAGAAAAGTTGTGCTTTAAATAAATTGTTTGTATTGTATTCAGGATATATTGGAGAATTTGAGATCGTGGACGATCATCGTAGCGGTAAAGTGGTAGTAAATCTTACTGGCAGATTAAATAAATGTGGTGTGATCTCACCTAGATTCGATGTACCTATCAATGACATTGAGAAATGGACAAATAATCTTTTACCTTCTCGACAGTTTGGGTAAATATTTGCACGCAGATATGTAGTTTTGTACACTTTTATTTTGGCAAAAAACGTGTGAAGATAAGTTACTCAAGTTTGGTGAGAATAATAACAATGCATTTATATTTTAGCTACGTTGTGTTGACAACTAGCGGAGGAATCATGGATCACGAGGAGGCCAGAAGAAAACATCTTGGTGGCAAAATACTGGGATTCTTCTTTTAATGTTTTTTTAAGTAAATAAACATGTAAGAACAAAAACTATATGATTAAATTTTTTTACGGATGCCCCAATCTTTTTATTTTTTTGTGCGGAGTAAAAAGTGTGAGTTAGGTAAATAGAATAAGTTATTGTAGATTCTTGTCACATGTTTTAAAAACGTTCTGAGGTTGAGATGTATTGCGTGTGTGTTTAATTATTTTTAAGGAAAAAGTATATTGCCATACTAGCCGGAACGTGTTTACATCAAGGTCTGTCAGATGATTATTTTTAATTCCGCTAGATGACTCTGAACTTAAACTCCATGTTCTGCTTTTTGTGACTGTAGATAGTTCGTAGTTTCGCGCGTCCATCGCGTGAGGTCATCAAGATCGACTCCAGAGGTTGTCACTCCTATCTCTACACAAGTGATTGCAAGTACACAAAACACACACAATAACGAACCAGAGCATATAATAAGTATACTCTTATCTTTATTATTAGATCAATCTAGTTCAATCGAGCTCGAAATATGGCCAAAACGAAAACGATCAGCAAAGGGTGTCCTAAATGCGAACAACAGGTATTTTATTTAATATTCTCTCGTATATTTTATTTATTATTTATTTTTATACAGTTTACGTTATCTCTTTTTTATATAAATTCATATGCTTATGGATTATACAACGGTGCTGTGAATATTCAATGTCCTATGAATCAATAGGTCAAATGTTTTGAGGATATTTCTTATATTTTTAACAAAATAAAATTCTTTGCAAAAGAAACAAATTTAATATTATAGAAAGTTGCGCAAAAAAATTATCAAATAGTCCTATTTAAGCAAATGCATTTTTAAGTATTTTTTTAAATCTTTTTTTTCTCTCATATAAAAAAGGTTATATGTTACACACATACACACAAAGGTAGAGATGTTATATCACAGCTAATGTGAAGTTTGTAGTCTATACTTATAGTTGTAGAATAAGTAGTATTATATAAATTACATGCCAATATGATATTCTTGAGGAATTTTATTTTATAATTTTGTTTTTCACATAAATACAAATCTATTTTAAATTTTAGAATAATTTATATATATACATATACATATATATGTATATATATGTATGTATGTATATATTTTCCAAGATAAATAAAATTTATTAATATAAAATTTTCTTTCTTTGTACAATAAGGTACCTGTTGCCTGCAAAGCTTGTCCATGTGGCCATTCCTTTTTTAATGCACGACGTAGTTCTATCAAAAGTCCACCAAGTCCTGACAATGGGGTGATGAAAACCAGGAGAACAAATCGTATTAAACGTGAGAAACCAAATTATTACGATGCTTTGGAGTATGATAAGCAAATGAAGAAAAGTGCTAAGGTAAAGTAGCTAATTTTGTTTAAAAAAAATATTAAAAGCAAACTCTAATGTTTAGTTAATATTATTGTCTCGCAAAAGATAATAATTTTAATAAAGTGATTTTTTTGAGAATACACAGAAATGTTGGTCAAAGTTGGCTTTTTGCATATTAGATTAGACGAACTACAGACACAGCAAATGACATTGACTGTCGGCAGTTAAACAAAAAGAAAAAAAGAAAGGGAAAGAGCAAAGGTAAGAATGGCAGCAACAGCGGCGTTGGTGACGACGATGACGAAATGGATGGGATAAATGGATTATCTCCGGAAAAACAACTCACATGTTCTCTCATATTGCAAGAATTGAACAACAAAATGAAACAAGTAGCTTGGAAGCCTACATGAAGTCTACAGTAAATGTAGATAAATGGGTATCTTTTCTAAAGAGTCTGACGATTGTCAATCAGACATGATTACGTTAATAAGGCGCAAACAAAAAAAAGTCTATAAACCTGACATTACAACTGGTTTCAGTCATCGCATAGAAAATGATCGACTGCCATTAAAAAGTTCTTTGTGCAATACTTTCTATATGTCACAGTATTCTTATATCTAATTGTGATCAAAGAATGTGATGCTATATCAATAATATCATTCTGTATAAAAGTAGATGTAGAATTATAATTTCAAATTAGTTTGCATATAAAATTTGAATGCTATTCTCACAATTAGTATTAAGTATGGAAACTATCATTAAAAAATCTATTATCTCTATTTATTAAATTGCCATATTTAACGAATGCAATGCAAACAGAGACTTTACAGATTAACGAACAAAACTTTTAGCAGTAGTCTTAATCTATTTTTTAAGATTAAATTATAGTGCATATATTTGTATATATACAATGTATATAAACATACATTTGTATATATGCAACATATATTTGTATATATACAATGTAAATAAATAATAGACCACGTAAGGTTTAAAACTTGGAAAGTTTTTTTTTAATACGAAATACATTCTTAAAAACTGTTTTAAAAATCACTGTTGTAACGACGCGTGCAAAACAAAAAAAAGATCCAAGAAAACTACACTGTATTTTTACAACTTATATTTATTCACTCTTATAGAAATTTATCGCTGTTAAACAGGGTGTTTGTTACTCAAAAAAAAATATATATATATATTATTTTGGCCAGTAATAAAAATTGGAGATTTATCACAAATAAATTTCTGTAAGGGTGAGCAATTTCGAGATAGGAAACGAGAAACGGGTATTCCAAAGTAAAAGCAACTATTTCTTTTGTGACAACTTTTACGAGTTATATTTGTATTTTTTTATTCTATTACACATTAGATCACTTTATTATCTCTCTCTTACTCTCACAACGATCACATTTTCAAAATAATTTACTCTTTCACAGTAGTGTCCTCTTGACGATTGTTATTTTCGACGTTTACGGGCAGCCTTGTTGCTGTTGTCGAGTTTGGTTGATTCTCATTGAAAACTAACAATAGGGGTAGGCCCCCTATGACCATACACGTGCCCATGCACAAGAAACACACGGTGTAACTTCCGGTTACGTCGCGCAGATAACCTGGAACGATATTGTACGTTATCGCACGATTAAATTGAAAATAAATGAAAATTGTTTTGCTGTTTTATTGCTATTCTTAATTTAAGATGAAATCTATTCTCTCTCCGACCGAGAGAGAATTATATGATATTGATACAAGGATACCTTTTTTTTAAAAAAAAAAGTCGATATATTTTATATAAATAAAAAATCAACATGAAATGAACAAAAGAAAATAACATTTGAGAAATAAAAGTGCATGCAAAGTTAAATTAATTATAATCGTGAGATTTAAACAATCTCTAGTCAAATTGTATTGTTGTTGAGAAAAACTGTCGCTGTTGTTTTAAACACGTAATCTCAAAGTAATTAAAAGAGCTGTTAAACTATAAAAGGTAATTGAGCGTACGTATACACGTGCGCGCTCTTGTGCATCCTTATATTTTTATCTCCATTCTTTTATGCGATTACGCGCGTGAGTAATTGGCATAATATATAGTGTAATAATGTTCAATATATCTTTTGTTGTCTACGAGATTATAAAAGAATTAAATTATATGTATTAAATTTATACATGGTTTTATGTTAACGAAGTGAGTGTGGTGTGTATAATATAATTAATAAAAACAAAAGCAGGTTTTAAATTTGAATATATAAAAGAGATTATGCTGAAATAAAAAAAAATGATAAATGGAAAAAATGTAACGCATTAGAAATTTGCTTCATCGATATACACACACACATATATATATATAAATAAATATTTTATATATATAAATATATAAAAAATATATATATATATATTATATATATTATAATATATTATAATATTAATATAATATATTATTATATTATATATATATATATATATATATATATATATATAAAGTAAAAAAAAAAGATCTTTCTAAGGTAACGTAAGCGTGTACCTGTTAAAGGTGGAATGGAGATCGCTCCGAAACTCTGAAACATCCTCACGAGACCGTAGCTAGACGATATTTTATCGGTGCCGTATTGATCAGCGAGCAGGACGGGAACTAGGAGGAACCAACAACCTAGGCACAATCCGTACATGCCGACGGAACACGCCAGCACGTAAAAGGAATGAGCCATTGGGATCGCCAGGACCGCCACACCGGCACCCACTACACTGTTTAAACGACAAAAAAAAAAAGAAACGACGTAGAATAACATGTTTCCTTATCCTTATTTTAATAAATTTAATCCTCGGAAGATTAATAGCCGATACCTTCCGATGTATCCTTTTCGTCGATCGAACAGCTTCAGGTCGGACAGCCAACCGAGACCGAGTCTGCCGCAGAGATCCAGAACGGCGGAAATAGCCACTAGATATCCGGCCTCCGATTTGGTGTAACCGGCGGCGTGTACGTACGCCGGCAAATAGTACAGCATGTAAGGACTGCCGGTGGACATCAGACTGACGGAGAAGCACATCATGATGAACTGCGGATTTTTAAGTAGCGAGAGATCGAGATAACGCGTCAGTTTCTGCATGAACGTGATTTTGGCCTCTGAAGATGCGGTCAGCGTCAAAGACGGCATCCTGCTCGGCGGCGACGGCGGTTGTTGTTGTTGCTGCTGCTGTTGCTGCTGCTGCTGTTGCTGCTGCTGCTGCTGCTGCTGCTGTTCCGGCGGGCCCATCGCCGTTACGGACGATTTCAGGGATCTCAACGACGATCTGGCGGCCTTGTACACGCACGTCGAATCAGTGGACAGATCCTCCACGCTGTGCAGGATGCTGGAACTGCGGATCTTGGAGATTGGTTTCATGCGAAGACCCTCGCCCATCACGTCCTTCTCCTCGTCGCTGTCGGTCAGCTCGATCATCACGGCGCTGTTCTGATGGAACAGCTCGTTCAGCACATTGTGCCGAGCGGTCGGATCATTCGCGAACAGCAAATCCAATTTTTGCTGCTTCGATTTCTCTTGATCCTGATGAAGAGGCAATCAAATATATCGTCAGGTCTGTGTTTATTTTTATGTAAATATAATTTTTAAACTTGAAAACAATTTTTTAGCTCAAACATATCGGTAAATGTTGGCCCATTCTTTTTTAATTGTAAAAAAATTATTTATGTGTAAATAACACACTGAAATTTCAACAATATCTTTTACTATTGACAGCTCGATCGAATTACCTGCTCCTTCTCTACTTTCGATTCGATCTTCTCCGCCGAGGTGTTCTCTTCAGGTGCGTAATTTTCGTCCAGCGGCCGATAGAGCGTCGCGCTTACGCACACGTGCAGCATACAACCGCCCAGTAAAAGTATCGTGCCGTGAAAGCCAAAATCGTCTATCAGAAACTCGATGAGAAGCGGAAACACGAAACTACCCGCGGCGGTGCCGGACACGCAGATCCCATTCGCCAGAGCGCGATGTTTGTCAAAATATTGAGACACCAGAATTATACCCGGTGTCGTGGATAAGCCACCGCCGATACCTGTAAGAGTATTTATTTTCTTTTAATTTTTCTTCTCTTAATTTAAAAATATTTATAAAAAATAAATAAGAAAGCAATTGATTTAATTTCGTTTTCGAACCTGTCAACACTCCAAATGTAAAAAAGAGATGTATCAATCGCGTGGCAAAGTAACTAGTTGTAAGTCCTAGAGCGCAGAAAAGTCCACCCACGAAGACCACCGTTCGACAACTATACTTCTGGCAGAGCATACTTGTCACCGGAGCTGTAAACGAAATAAAAACAAAAAAAACACTCTGACGTAATAATATATTTCTATAACTAATAAATTAATGAGCCGTTCGCTGGATGTTATGCGGGAAATATGTCTATATGTGCGTGTGTACACATAATATAATCGCTCTCAACGACTTAATCATTCATTTATTAGTTAAAGACTTCACACAGAGCCCGAGATGAATCTCAGTTTTAATTGTTAAATATATTTCTAATATATTTCTACGAGATATGCTATCAACCGTTACATTTCTCACGGCGTACGATTAAAATAGGATCTTAACGTCCGAAGTTCTTCGGAAGACATGTATTCAGTTTAAAAAAAAGTATTATCGTAAATAGAAAAATCCATATATCTCTGTATGGATTTTTCTATTTCGATAATACTTTTGGATGAAAAAAATTAATTTCTTATTCGCATTATTCAAAAAAAAAATATAAAAGCACGCGCAAAACATTTCTCGATACAATGTTCTCTTTATCTTGCGAGATGTTTTTAAATTGTTTTTTTTTTTTTTAAACAAAAAAGGAGAAAAAACAAATGTGCGTTAACAAAATGTTGTTTATTGTGTATGCACTTTACGTAATATTTGATTGATATCTCAAGTAAAGTTCATCATTTCAGGAAATTTACCGCACAATTCTCAGAATTCGTCGTTGTTCTTATGCAACAACACGAACGAAATGAGAAAATTGCGGTAGGCTGACAATAGACCGAAGCATCGTGCCGGCGACTTTCGCTCTCGAGTCCCCGATCGATTTTCAGCGAGAAGCGAGGGTCGCGGAAACGGAAGGACCTTGACGACGATGATTCGATTGGTATATATATATACTTACCGAGCGCCAGACACAGGCACGTCAGAATCGCCGGTATCCAAGACGCAACCGAGGCGGACGAGTCCTTGTAAGTCTCCATTACTTCGACGTAGAGCACGCCGTAAGATTTTACCAATCCGGCAACCCAAAACTGTACGAAAAAGGCGCCGGTCACCACCACCCATCCATAACCGCCGTCCAAAGGGACATAAGTGATGTTTCGCGGTTTCCTCGTCTCGTTTTTCTGCCGGGATTTTCTTCTCTTCGGAACCGAACTCTTGACGGATCTGGATATTTTATTAATCGTTATTCGTCACGAATAAAACTATCTGATGAAGCGAAATTCATCAAAACCAGACGTCGTCGTCAAAAAACGCGGCAATTTGCCGACAGTATGTAATCAATTGTCATACTTATAATTTAAGCGACAACAAAAATTCAAATTAAAAAAAAAAACAAAGTTGTCTTCCGTGCAAAAAGATCGTCACTGATCGTTACTTTCGACTTTTTGCCAGAAAAAACTCGTGTACCTCAACGTTAAACGCGACACCGACCTGAGTTCCCTGGATTTGGCGATGAGCGGCCGAGCGGTGAGGCTGGAAATGGTCAGCAGATTGTCATTGTCCTCCTCTTCGACGAGCGTACCTTCGGGACTCTGTAGATGCGGCGGCACCACCGGAGTCGAAGTCGCGGTGGTCTGCACCGCCAAGGAAGCCGGTCGCTTCGGCGAAGGCACACCGGAGGCCATGCCGCTGCTCAGATCAAACACCGGTGCCGAGTGAATCGAGAAGAGAGAACCCAGCTGCGCCGCTGGCTGATTATTCATATTTTCGTCGATGATCGCGCTGCCGGAGATCGCCATCTCCTGGGACGCTGCCATTGCGATCTCGGGGTCGGCCAGGACGTTCCTCGAGTCGCGACACGCATCCTGAAAGCTCCATTCCCGTGGTAGCGACATGTTTCCTCAGCGGCTTCCTCGGCGGTACCTCCGGAGGGACCGTAATACATTGGATTGTGTTGCTTGGTGAGTCGCGCGTGGTTTAGTTGCTTGATTTTGCTGTGGTCGTCCGACGACTGGCTTGGATTGGCTGTTTTTTTTCTTCTTTATTGTATCGCCTCACCCTGCAGGATTTTACCCTGCGTCTTCTCCTCAAGTGGAGAAACCCGATCCTGCCTTCACACCTGAACACAGTGTTGTCTAGTAATGATGTAGCAGCGCTCTTCTATCCTGTCACCACCGAGCAACTTCGCCTATTTTCTTTCTGTCAACTTCTGTGATTGCGAGCCCCTCGATGGGGTGACGGCTTCCGATGTCTTTTTCGAATTCGGATTTCTGGAAGATAAAACTCAAGCCGAGCAACAGGAACGTTCAACGACCAGCGGTTTTTTCTTGCTTGACGCACACCAAGAGCACTTTTCGCGACTTGGCAGTTGCGAACTGAGACTTCTCTTGTACATGAGTGGAATGCGCACGCAGCTTGGCAAAAGGCTAACGTGGAAATTCACCTGATGGGATCGATACGGCGGCGGCGACGCTGCTGCGCAGAGACGAATGATTTTTGCGAAGATGTGGCAATCACTCGCGGTTCACGTGCAAACAGAAAGAAAATTACTAACGGCAAAATGTGCAATGAAATTTATTTTGCTCACGTGCAATTGGACCGCACGCGCTTACAGAAAGATGTAAAATTTTCAATGAAAATAGAAAAAAAATTAAAAAGATAAGCAAATGGGCGAGTAAACGGAGTGTTGGCATCAGTCGGACGAATCTCTCGGTTGCACTGAGAAAAAGTTTTTCCCTAAGCAAAACTAATGTGTCCATGTATTTGTACCTTTATTTGCAAGAAAAAGCATTTTATTTATAAAAATTAAGTTACCGTACATTATATACACGATAACATATATATTTTCGTATATACAATAACAATAATTTTTGTACTAAAATTACATTCGATCGTTGTGAAAAAAAAAACAAAATGATTGCTAGCGGAGAAAATTATAGTAAAAAACAATATACACTCGTAGAAGATATTTAAGTTGCTTTCGGGATGTATATTTCAATCGAAAAGCTTCGCGTTTAATTTAATTGTATCTCTACCCGATTTCTTCGCTAGTTGTCTTACGTCATCTAGGACGCGCAATGCTCAATCGTCGTAATTACCCGTCAGCAAGCATATTGCAGAAGTTTTATGCGGGGATGATTGTTTCGCGAATTGTTGTAATTTGCCGTAATTTGCCTAAATGTCACAAGAACGAATAATACAAGTACGATATCAATTTTACTGATCGAGAGTTTCTTCGTAAACTATTGTTTCAGCGAGTATATTTTATAAAGAGAGAAACCTGTCTCGCGCTCCTCGTATCCTCCGCGTTGATTTATCTTGAAATTTCGATATCTAAGATCAAAAACGAGACACCTCACCTTGCAAAAAAAAAAAAAACATGAACGATTTTGAGAAAGAACAATGCGGAAATTTTGTCAACGATCGGCGCATCGGTTTGAATTCAGCATTTTCCTCGAAAAGAGGCGGGGTTGAATTCCCTACGCGCAGCATCCGACCGATCGATGAGAAAACCACATCTCCCACGGTGCGCTCCCATCTCGCGACTCGCACTTGGGCTATTCCACGGCTCTCCTCGGCTACGGATCCGTACGTTTTAATATGTGATACGAGCGTTAGATCCCGTTTTTTTTTGGATTCTCAGGAATCCGTTTTGAATCCGGGAGAATCGGATGAGAAATTCAAGGTAGAGTGTGCGTGTACGCAAAGAAGAAAAATAACTCGCGGTAAGTGTGAGCGATTCAAGTTCGCAACGACGATTTGCAAAAATTCAGTTTTTGTATTTTGGAATTGCTTCTTTTTTTTTTTTTGTCCGCTTTGCAAACATCTTCTCGATTGTTTGCATCATGTTTCGTTCGGTGATTTGTTTTTTTATCGATGCACGCGCGTGGAATAAAAAAGAGAGGGAAGGAGAGACGGAGAGTAAAAATGTGTAACGAGAAGTTGAAAGTTGTGTAAAAATTTTAAGTACATTATCGAAAGCAGACGAAAAAACCGATCGAATTAAAAGATCGTTTGATCATTTTGTTTCAATACGCACCTTTTATCCGTTTTTGCAAAAGTTTTTGCGTTTTGTGACAAATTGAAAAGTTTTTTCGGCGGCGCAAAATAGGGCGGTGGCTATTCGCTGACGTATCCTAAAAAGGATTACTTCAATTGTTTGAAAAATATATTTAAAAAAAAATGTGTGTGAAGATAGTCAGTGTACTTCGGTGATTGGTAAAAATTATTAATTGTTTATTAATATTAATTGTTTCTTGCGTGCGATAATTTTTTTGGAAGGAAAAAAACTTGTTTCTCAATTTTTGAAGAAACGCGTGTCGCGTTTCCGCGCGCCAAAAGACTCTCGTCGTCGATTTTTCGCGTGGTGTTTTTTGTTCGCAGGTTCGCGCAACAATGGGATTGCACGTGAGAACCGTGCTGTCGCTTCTTTTTATCTTCTTGCACAACGCGCCGCGCTCAAGATTCGTCACCGCCTATCAAAATCACATTAATCCAAGTTACTTCAACATAGGCGGGGTTCTTTCGAACAACAAGAGCAAGGAACACTTTCAGGAAACGATCAAAGTAAGAAACTTCGAAACGCGATCGTTCAGAAAAATTCAAACGACGGATCTCTACTTGTTTCTATTTTGTTTTTTTTTTTCCAGCATCTGAATTTCGACAATCAGTATGTGAACAAAGGAGTGACGTACGAGACCACGGTGATCGAAATGGACTCAAATCCCATTAGAACCGCGTTGAGCGTCTGCAAATCTCTGATAGCCAAACAGGTGTACGCGATAGTGGTGTCCCATCCGCTTACAGGCGACTTGTCGCCGGCCGCGGTTTCCTACACCAGCGGATTTTATCACATACCCGTGATCGGCATCTCGTCCAGAGACTCCGCTTTCTCGGACAAAGTAACATATATATATGTTTTTCTCACTTCAATAAAATGAGATAAAAAAAAAAACAAACAAATTAAATAAACTACAAGGTGAAAAAAAAAAAGTGCTTCGTCCAACTCGCGCACTCACATGTGATCATTTTTTTCCAGAACATTCACGTGTCATTTTTGCGCACGGTACCGCCGTACTCGCATCAGGCGGACGTTTGGGTCGAGTTGCTGAAGCACTTCAACTACATGAAGATCATCTTTATTCACAGCTCCGATACGGACGGTCGCGCGTTGCTCGGACGTTTTCAAACGACGTCGCAAAATCTGGAGGAGGACGTGGAAATCAAAGTGCACGTACGCACGTTTTAATCTCTCTCTTCGACGCTTCATTCTTCCTCGTTGCCGAAGAATTGTTGAATTGTTTTAGTGCAGTTTATTAACTCCGCATAATTTTTTTTGTTTTTTAGGAAAGCTAACAAGAGTTGTATCGTTATAATATTGTTATTGAATCAATTATATATTTCAGGTTGAATTAGTCATCGAATTCGAACCGGGACTGGACAGCTTCGTGGAGCAGCTGATAGACATGAAAAGCGCACAGGCGAGAGTCTGTCTCATGTATGCTTCGTAAGTGCTCGTCACACGCAATTCAAAATAAATTTTGTTCTTCAAAACAGTTCTGCGCATATAGCGACGGTTGAAGTGAGATAAATAATAAATAAGTACAAATTATAGTTGTCTTGATGTTTAAATAAAAGGCTCTAAACGTCCGTGTGGATAAAAAAAAAAAAAAAAAAACAGGAAAACGGACGCGAGAGTGATCTTCAGAGACGCCGCGGTTCTGAACATGACGGGCACCGGCTACGTGTGGATCGTCACCGAACAGGCGTTGGACGCGCCGAACGCGCCGGAAGGTCTGCTGGGACTGAAGCTGATCAACGCGACCGAAGAGAATTCGCACATCACCGACAGCCTGTCAGTGTATCCATTATCATCTTTTATCGCGTAACATGTGAATAAGACCACCGCGATACTCGCTTGCGTTAAACTGACGGACGTGATTATTTTTACGATCTAATAATATATTGAAACAAAACACGACGGTCATACGTTGTCTCTCATCATCGTTGACGATTAAAATTCAACAACGTTCGTTGTTTTAGCGCAATCTATAACAGGTTTTTCCTAATTTGTTCGAATTTAGAACAAAAGTTTAGCGAAAATTAAAAAACTAAATTAAAGAAAGATGTGATTGGCTTAAATCCAACTAACTTCCATGGACGTGTTCACAGAAAACTTGTTACCTTCTTTACAGACACGTGCTCGTGTCCGCGCTGCGACGAATGAATCAGACGGAGAAGATCACCGAAGCGCCGAAGGACTGCAGCGATTCCGGTTCCATATGGGAAACCGGCAAGAATCTCTTCCAGTACGATAAAAAGTGTCTTTGTTTTTTTTTTTTGTATTTTGAGCGTTCAGAAAGTTTCGAACAAAATGAGAAATTTTTTTCTCTCACTGTTGTTCTTCTTTGTTTCAATTAGATACATTCGCAAAGAGATAGTGCCTTTCGGTCAAACGGGTCAAGTGGCGTTTGACGATAACGGCGACCGTATATTCGCTGAATACGACATAATTAATATCCAATACGGTCCAGACAATAACAAGAGCCAGGTGTCCGTCGGCCAGTACTTTTACCCTCCCGTAAGTGTGGCGCAAATCTCACAAAGATTTGTAACAACAATATTCACACATTTCACGTTCACACATTACACGCGCAGTTTTAAAGTAAGTTTTTATATAAATATCGTCGAAAAAAAAAAAATGTGTAGAACGGCACTAAGATGAAGCTGCGAGTGAACGAGTCCAATATCATATGGCCGGGCCGTTCGAAGACCAAGCCCGAGGGCTTCATGATACCGACGCATCTGAAGGTGCTGACGATCGAGGAGAAACCGTTCGTGTACGTTCGCGAGTTGCTCGACGACGAGATCAAGTGCCTGCCGGAGGAAATCGCGTGTCCCCACTTCAACACGACGGAGAACAACGAAAGTGCGGAAGTCAAATTGTTATTTGAAGTTTGATGAATTTTTATCGAAATACAAGATAGAATCGTAATAAACATATTTGTCGCTTTTTTTCTTTTTTTATCTCAGCATCGAAGATCTTTTGCTGCAAAGGATACTGTATAGATTTGCTGAAGGAGTTGTCGAAGACGATTAACTTCACGTACAGTCTGGCTCTGTCACCCGACGGTCAATTCGGCAGCTACGTGATCAAGAACAGTTCGAGTAAGAGCAGAGTGGAAAATAAAATTTAAAAATGAATTGTTCTTAAGTAATTATTTTTTATTTCTCTATTTTGATGATATTTTCAAGTCGGCGGGAAGAAAGAATGGACCGGTCTCATCGGCGAGATAGTGAACGAACGGGCGGACATGATCGTCGCCCCGTTAACGATCAACCCCGAACGCGCCGAGTTCATCGAGTTTAGCAAACCGTTCAAATATCAGGGCATCACTATTCTGGAGAAGAAGGTATACACATGTTGCTTTTTGCAACGTCAAAATCAATATATTTTTTTCAATTGCAATAACGGAGTTTAGGTAGTACTCGGAAAATGATTAGATAAAAAAAGCGCGAATTGATTTGATCTGTGATCAGCCTTCAAGATCGTCCACTCTGGTGTCCTTCTTGCAACCGTTTAGCAATACTCTTTGGATTCTGGTGATGGTATCGGTGCACGTGGTGGCGCTGGTTTTGTACCTGCTCGACCGATTTTCGCCGTTTGGCAGGTTCAAATTAGCGAACACCGACGGGACCGAAGAAGACGCCCTCAATCTGTCCAGTGCTATCTGGTTTGCTTGGGGAGTGTTGTTGAACAGCGGTATAGGAGAAGGTAGGGATATCTCGCTCTTTTTATGGTTCTATTTAACTTTATACGTACCCGGGAAAAAATAGATTAGATCTAACTTAAATTTAACGAGATAAAAAAAATGGAAAAATAGATCCAATTAGATCCAAATTAAATCTAAATAGATATAAAGTAGATCTAAATAAATATAAGCAGATCTATTAAATTTACATCTACTATAATTAAAACTACTCAGATTTAGTTAGATTTGAGCAGATCTGAACAGGTCTGAGGTGATCTAATATAATAAATCTGAGTAGATTAAGAGTAGATCTAATAATAAATAAAAGTTTATAAATTTCCATTGATTTACTTATATTTATTTAGATCTGCTTTATATCTATTTAGATTTAATTTGGATCTAATTAGATCTATTTTTCCATTTTTTTTTATCTCGTTAAATTTAAGTTAGATCTAATCCATTTTTTCTCGGGTGCTCACACGGCAATCGTTATTGCTAAATTTATTTACAGGCACACCGCGAAGTTTTTCCGCACGCGTGCTGGGAATGGTATGGGCCGGATTCGCTATGATCATTGTAGCATCGTACACCGCCAACTTGGCCGCGTTTCTCGTTTTGGAACGACCCAAAACCAAACTCACCGGTATCAACGACGCCCGAGTAAGTGAGCAATTGATCAGTTTTTACATTCTAAAAGCAATATATTACCTATACTTGTAAGTGATATCAGAACTGACAGACTTGACAATGTTAAATCCGCGATGTTTTTTTTTTTTTTTTTTATTGTAAAGCTCAGAAACACAATGGAGAACTTGACGTGCGCGACAGTGAAGGGATCCGCCGTGGACATGTATTTCCGACGTCAGGTTGAGTTGTCCAACATGTATCGCACGATGGAGGCGAACAATTACGACACCGCTGAAGATGCGATACGCGACATAAAAATCGGGTAAGTTATATGTATAAAACAAAAATACGATTAATCGCCTCTGATGCAGCTGGTTTTTTACAGTGCAAAATTTCTAAATTCCTGAAATTTTTTTCTCTTTACAGAAAATTAATGGCGTTTATCTGGGACAGCTCGCGACTGGAATTCGAAGCGGCTCAGGATTGCGAACTGGTGACGGCGGGTGAACTGTTCGGCCGGTCGGGTTACGGAATCGGTTTGCAAAAAGGCTCACCGTGGGCGGATGCTGTGACACTGGCGATTTTAGATTTTCACGAGAGTGAGAAAATTAAATTTGTCACGCGCATAAACAAATTTCTTTTTCACGTACGCTATGCGATAAAATTCTTGAAAACAAAATTAATGTTTACAGGCGGTTTTATGGAGAGTCTCGATAATCACTGGATTTTACATGGTAACGTGCAACAATGCGAGCAATTTGAGAAGACGCCGAACACTCTCGGTTTGGAGAACATGGCCGGTGTGTTCATCGTCGTTGGCGTCGGTATCGGCGGCGGTGTGGGTCTGATAATAATCGAGATGGCATACAAGAAGCATCAGATACGCAAACAGAGGAAGATGGAACTAGCGAGACACGCGGCTGACAAGTGGCGAGGAATGATCGAGGTAATCTCTCATCAGCCGATATTGAAAAGAGTTGATAAACAAAATTTGCATTTTAAGATATAAATAACAATAGATTTGAATCAGTCATTATCAGTCGTTAATTCGTGTGTCTCGTATACTCTTTTCTCGCAAAATGTGTCTCGAAAAATTGATTCGATTTCTTTATTTTACTCTCGTGTGTTGTGAGCAGAAGCGCAAGACTCTGCGAGCATCGATAGGATCCACTCAACGAAGAATCCAGAGCAACGGTCTGAACGATCCGGCGACCGTGAGTCTGGCCGTCGACACGGTTGCAAGATCGAATATAGGAACACGCAGTCCTGGTCGCGCCTGGCCTGGCGACAGCGACCTGAGACAACGACCGATCTCCCGCTCGGACGACATTCGATTATCGCCCGCCGCCTACACTGCCGACGTGTCGCACCTCATAGTTTAATCTTACACACGCAATATATTTGTAGTTTTCTACCAGATAAACATCGCTGATCGTTTCTGGTGAATTGTTACGGAGTCATCATCCCCCTCGTCTTCCTCATGTTGTCTAGAGACGTAATTAAAAGTGGCATTTACGTATGTTTGGCGAATAATTGTTAGATGTTTGTAGACAATTGCGAGTAAATAGTCTTGAGAGTATCTCTTTATATAAAATATTATATGACCGGTACGTGTTTCATACATAAGACTTCACATGAATCTAACTTCCGCAAGATCGTTCATTCTCTCTCTTTCTGGTGCTACTAGATATTGTTATATTAATTAATTGCTCATTATATATAGCAAATCTTTTAAAGAAAAAGAGATGTCTTTAAACTTATACATTTATTTTTCCCTTTCCTTGTTCATCTTGTTAGAGACTAAATGTACATCTGTGTCTTTATTTATTAAAAAAGCGTAACAATACGAAGTACAAAACTAACGATATCCCGGTGTAGGCGAGGGAGGTGAGGGTGTAGACGAAGGATATCCTGGTGCAGGAGAAGGATAGCCCGCGAATGAGCCTGAAGAGCCGGAACTCGTTGCAACAGGAGTAGACACAAAAGGTACCGATTGACTCGGATAATTTGGCTGAACGGCTATATCGCTGACTGCGCTGGCAGAGCTCGAGGCACTTGCGAAGCTTGAACTGCCAGCTGGACCACTTAACTTTACTACACCATTTGGAAAACCAGAAACACCTGGGAAACCTGAACCATCGAAAGAAGCAGGAAAAGATGGAGCACCCCCATTTGGAGCGATAGATACGCCGGCAGAAGATCCTTGTTGACCGTAGGGTGGCAAATATGTGGGTCCAGGCGTCGATACTGGAGGTGGCCTTGGAGTACCCGGAGGTGGCAAATATGTAGCAGGAGGTCGCGTAGGTCTTGGACGTGGTTGCGGCCGAGGTGGAGGTAGATATGTTCGTTGTGTAGGAGGAGGAGGAGGAGG